AAAAATATTGGCACCTTCATAGTAAACCACTAAGAGTAGACAGGGTGGCCCACAGGACTCCATACAGAATTTAAAAAAATAGTCAAATGTAGTAGTGGAAGGACTGTATCATGGTCTCTGGCCAGACAAACCTGATCTGCATCCTGGTTCTGTCCCTTACAAACTCTGGTGACCCCAGCAAGTTCCTTATCCTCGTTACCCTTGTCCTCCTCACCCTTCTAACATGAATGTGATCATGTCTCCTGAATATCACTGTGTGAACAGAGTGATGTAATGTGCACAGAAACTTTATAATTCGCAGTAGCAGGTACAAGTTTATTAGCAGGATTATGTGAGTGGTTGATTTATCTTAGAAGTGTGGTTTACTCTTGAGTCACATTACTAAAATTATATAAGAAATTAAGGGTGAGGCTGGCCCTGTAATACAGTGGTTAAGTGCTGTGCATTGGGAGCCAGATCCAACATGGCGGACTGCAGTTTGAATCCCAGCCCCAGTGGGTTAAAACACATATTGAGCACATATGTGTGCATGCCCCCAAATCCTCATGGGATGAGGAAAAGGAGGAAAAAGGATTGTGGCATGACCAGGCCCTATTGGAGGTTATTTTCTCTGTCTCTGTCAACCACATGTACTCTTTGGCAATAAAAAAAAATTAATTCAAAAAAGAAATGAATGATGTATGCATAGTTAGGTTAAAGAAATATATTTGTGCACAAAAGGTACAGTAGTTCTGTCTCTGCATACCTGAGATAAGGCTAACTTTCACTACCACATTATCCTAACAGAGTCCCCATAGCACCTGGTGTAGCCAATTAGAAGTACAGGGAAAAAAGAGTAAGGAAGTTCATGGCTCCAATGGACTTTCTTTGCCTCCTTTATCCTCAAATACAGATAGAAACATCTCAGAGCTGTGGGAAGATGTGTCTGGAAGCCTCTTCAATTATTATTTATATTATTTTGAGCTTACGATACACTCTGGGATGCCCACTGGGCCTCCCACTCCCCCATATTCCCTAAACATTGAAAATAGACATGAAGTGTTAAATGTTTTCTCTAGTTTCCTGAGATGCCAATGATAAATATCAACACACACTGGTTTAGAATTCACCCCTGTGTCATTCTGCATGTTTGTTTTTTTTTTTTCCCATGTGAAACCAAATGAGAAAAGTTTTAAAAACAATCTGAACTTATATCCTGCTTTAAATTCGTGCTGGGGGAATTAAAACTGAATTTTTTATCCAGTCTCACACTGCAAAAATACTGTTTATTTTTCCTACAAATGGACCATATATGAGGGTAAAACAAATATCTCTTTCTCCTGAGATGTGTATATGTAGCCTTTTTTTTTCTTTTTTCCTGGTCAAACTACTGAAAGTCAAACATCTAACAGGATGACTGATACTGCCCTTGCATGTAAAAAACATTTATCTCTCATCAGGCAGAAATCAAGAGATTTAGATTCTAGACCCAAGGTGGCCTAGAAGTGAAAGTTTCCTCTTTCTCTCTGTTCTTGGTTTCTGGTCATTGAACTAGTAGGATGGGATTGGAAGAGGGAGAAGAGTTGACTTGAAATCTGTCTGACTGTAAAATCCTGTACCACCAGAAAAAAAAAAAAGCAAAAAAAAAAAAAGCATGAGTAAACAATAGCAAGATTTTTGTTCTGAAAAATACTTTAATAAGAACTCAGAATGTGGCTCTTGAGAAGCCTTCTCTGTAAAGGCCTCTGAAAGGGAAACCCCCAACCTTCGCTTCCCACACGGGGTGTCTATCTTATAGCTCTTATTTATCCATTTGATATGGTAACATCCCCACCTGCTGGAACTTCTAGGTTTTTGCTGCTAAAGGTACACACTTAGGAGGTGTTTGGTCAAAGTTTTGTGGTCTTAGGCAAAATCTGGGTTAGCAGAAGCCGGCCTGGTTAGGGGCTTCTCCTCCACAGTGGTGGTTTTTAGAGGAGAGTAGCTCTAGAGCTGAGGGCACCTTCTTCCCACTCTCCTGATCCATAGTGACACTGCCTAGGGTGCAGGGCATGACTAAGGCTCCCCCAGATGTGGGCACTCATGTTCCTCAGGGCATGACTAAGGCTCCCCCAGATGTGGGCACTCATGTTCCTCAGAATTTCCATGCATTTGTGAAAGATGAGCCTTGGCTCTCTCCTCAGAGCCTGGGTCTCAGGGATATAGTTAACACCTCTGGGACTGGAGTGTCCTGGAAACACAAGCAAGATTCTGAATATAGCTTGGCCTTGGTGTATTCAGGGGCAGGCTGGGGTGTAGAGACCGTGGGAAGGCCACCCCACTGAGGGGCAGACACAGACCTCAGCCTTGAGTGGCCTCAATGGTTTCCATCATCCCAAGGCCCTTAACACAGTGTCCAGAACTACCAATGAGGGAGGAAATTGCTAGGGATGTTAAGGAGCCCAGCCCTGCTATCCAAGCCAGGGGTCTAAGCTCTCACCTCAGAATTAGAGTACTCAGAGGCTGTGTTCTGCCTCTCCCTAAAACATGGAGAAGTCTATGTTCCTCTTTGGGATGCTGAAAATGAAAAGCTAGATAATGGCCTTCTCCTCTGTTGTCCTACAATTCTGGTGTGCACCCCAATTTCTTTCTCCTGTTGTATAAAGTCTCCTGTCCATAGAGCTGTCTCTGCTAAGCCCCTTCACCATGGAGACCTTTATCCATGGAGATCATTTTGGGGTCTTGTCTGGGAGCAGGAAGGAAAGGCTTTGAGCTTGGTGCAAATTCAAGGCCAAGCTTTGTGTCTGAGTTCTGGACCCCAGTGAGGCTGTAGCCTGTCCAAGGCAGGAAAGAAAGCCTCAGGCCCTAGGAGGGACAGGCCAGGGCTGATGTCAGCCTCTCCTTGTGCAGTCAACAGGCTCCAGGGCCAAGTGGATTGGGCACCTTCCCTCCATAGCCTCCCTGTCCATCCCTGGGGAAGCCCCCACCTTCCCACACTGCCCCCTGCCTCAGAGCCTAATCCCACGTCAGAGCCCAACCCACTTGGTACACAGGAGTAAGGTAAGGAGCAACTAAGGCCTCCTTTCCATCAGTGATAACTCTGCCAGCTCCAGACCTTTCCATCCCTCTCGAGTAAGCTGAAAGAATAGCTGCCAAGGACTTCCTGACAAGAGCCCCTCTGGTATGTGGGCAGAATCTCCAAGTTCCCTCTCAAAGGTCATCATTTCACACAGTTCCTCCCTTCCTGCCCACCCCCGTTGGGAGTTATTTACTTCTCAGAGCTAAAGGCTACAGTCCAAGTTACCTTGGCAGCATTTGGTCAGAAACTGATCAACACAGTGGGAGGGGACAACGCCCCACAACAATGATTGTGCTCAGCCCTTTAGGTAAATGTGACTTAGGTCTGTCACAGAGAATGTCCAGACTTCCTGTTCTTGCCTTCGAAACTCTCTTTCCAACCTGACAGTGTCCACCAGATCACTACATCCAGACATTCCCAAAAAAGGGATTCAGAACATGCTGGAACCATTGTGAAACACACACATTGCTCTGTGGAGTTTGGCACTGCATGAAGGGAGAGGGCTGCAGCTAGGAAGTTTAGGAGATGATCTCAGTACTTGCTTGGTTTTCCTCAGGTATGTCCATCCCTTTAGAGCAGGGGTTCCTAATACCCAGGCCACAGACTGATACTGATCCATGGCCTGATAGGATGCAGGCTGCAGAGCAGGAAGTGAGTGGTGGGTTGAGCTTCATCTGTATTTACAGCCACTCCCCATCTCTTACATTACTGCCCAAGCTCTGCCTCCTATCAGATCAGTGGCAGCATTAGGTCCTCACATTGAAACATGTTGAAAATCCCCATGCTCACTTGTCAGCCCCATAATTCCAGTTTGGCTCCAAATGCAGCTGCATTCTAGTTGCAGGAAAACAAGCTCAGGGAAGGGGAAGACAGAGGAAGAAGGAGGTAAGTCAAAGTGTCAGGGGGTCTTGGGGAAGGGCATCTTTCAGGACCAAAGTTTCCTTCTGGTCCTGCACCACAAGGTCAAAAGTATCATTTGAAGGACCTCCTGAACCCAGGGGGGTCAGCCTCAAGGAGACACATATGCAGGGTTCAGCTTGTGAATATACAGTGGTACCTATTCCTGATTATCACTGAGGAGGTGATAATCTGCTTATGCCCTTGCATGGGATGACTACTCAGGGCCCAACTAATATGATTGGCTGGCTGTTTTGTTTTGTTTTGGGGGGTGGTTTTTGAAGCTTGGCTAGGAGAGTCTATTTATTCTTTTGTGACCGTCACTCCAAAATTCCACATAGAGCTTTTTGAGAGAACAAAACATCCTAGAAAAGAGTACAGCTGGATAAGCTGGCTTCCCTGGTGAACATTTCAAGAAGAATTTCATCAGAAATATGCCATTCTTAAACTTGGTGACTGCCAGATAACGAGACCTCTAGCCGCACTGCTCCATTAATGCAAAGGAGGAAAGCCAGAGTGATTGTACTTGGCCTCTGCACCTGTCTCCAGGTAACACCCAGGGAAGTGACTGAACATTAGCAAGCATCTCCAGTGATTTTAGGAAGTAGGTCTAAATTGGTGCATTGTGTGGAATTGCACTAAGAGTACTTACTGCATCCTAACCAAGTGTTCAGAGACTGAAAAGCACTTTATAAGGACTCACTCATTCAATTCTCACAATGACCTATGATGCAAGGACTCTTGCTACCCCCATTTTATAGATGAGAAAACTAAGGCACAGAGAGATTACTCATAGCTAGCTAGGCAAGTAGCCAAAAGGGGCCTGTAGGTCTCTTTACACAAACAGTGGGCTTACACCACCTCTAGAAATGTAGCCTGTGCCCCTGGGGTCTATGAGTATCTCCTGCTGGACCTGTAGAGTTCTAAAAAATGGAGGACAGTTCTTTTGACACTTGAGCCCCAGCCCATGCGCCAGCCTCTAAACCCCCTAACTCATGGGACCGCTTGTGCAACTGCTAAACCTGTGTCAACACTATACCAAGTGACCCCAGTAGAATTTCCTTACTGGCATCACCGGCTCTGTCTCCTTTTTCTCCTTTCTCTCCTTTCGGGCCTCGATCACCTAAAACAAGAAAACTCAAGTTAGAAATGTATAGAATCAACCCAAGAAAAATTTCCCCCAGGCACATCATAGCCAGATTGACCAAAACCACAGACAGAGACAAGATATTAAAACTGTCAAGAGAAAAATGTCAAGTTACTTACAAAGGCTATCCCATCAGGCTAACATTGGACCTCTCGTTGGGAACAATGCAAGTAAGGACAGAATGGGAAAATATAGTCAAAGTGTTACATGAAAAACAATTTCAACCAAGAATACTATATCCAGGATGATTATCCCTCATATGGAAAGAAAAGCCCGAAACATTCTCAGATAAATGACACCTGAAAGAATTTACCAACACCAGACCAGCTCTTTGAGAAATTCTAAAGGCAGTGATATACTAAGAACACTAAAGTCAGACAGAAATAAGAGAACAAAAGATGACCAAGAAAAAATTCAACTTAATGCTACCAAGTTTGGAAATATCAATAGTAATGTTGAATGCCAATTTACAGGATTTACATGAAAAGATCAGACCACAGTAACACTGTAAATTCAATAAAAGAGAGAGTACATGAGACTAAACTGGTGAAACAGAATTCTATGACTTTTCTCTAAAACATTATTGATTTTCTTCTATGCTTTGTCTTCCAGATTTAAAGATTTGGGTTTTCTTGTGAGTTGTTGATAGGTTAAGCAATTTGTTAATTTTTAAAAATTGAAACATAGGGACTGGCAGTTAGCGTAATGGCTATGTCGCTGGACTGCCACGTAGTTGACTGCGGTTTGAGTCCTGGACCCGGTGGCTTAAACTCACGCCGGGTGTGTGTGCGTGCGTGCCCAAGATCCCGAGAGGAGAAAGGAGGAGAAGGGATTGCGGCATGGCCATCCCCCCTGGTGGGTGATTTCTCGCTTCCTGTCTCTGTCTGTTTCTGGCAAGCGCACACGCCCTATAGCCAAAAAAAAAAAAAAAAAAAAAACACCTCTCCAAAAAAAGAAAAAAAAATTGAAACATAAACTTTTCTCCCTTCCTGGCCCCTTTGCAATTGGAAAATATTTGTGAGCATTCTTATTTTGTGGCAGAATGGTTATTTGCATAAGTTCAATAATACAGTAGTATCTGTTGCCTTGCATCAGAAATTAAATTCTTATGGGGCTTTGTGCACGTAGCAGACCAAATGGAAAATTTTTTATTTTTCAAATAAGTTAGTTTATACCTCTCTTTAGTAAAAAGGGGAATGGAGAGAGAATAAAATGTTTCAGAAGAAAATTACAGTGCATTTGTCACTAGATTTTAGCTTTGGCCATATTTTTAGTTTAAGATCTTTTGTGAATCAATAAAATGTGAAGAAATAAAACGTTTAGTATGGAAGGGAGGGAAGAGAAAGGCTAAGGAAAAAAATTAAAGTATGTTTAAGTGACAAAAAATGGGAAGCTATTTGCTGCTGATAATGTGTATAGTAATATCTTTGTCTTGACTGACATGTACAGTATTCATGCTGGAAACAGAAATGTTGTACACTGTAAATACATATGTGATTAAATGTAAATAAATTTTAAAATAAAGAAAAGACAACAAAAAGAAATGGAAACAAATTCCAATTGTGAGTAAAATGTTATCTGCAGGAGACTTCTTAACCCATGGTCAGAGAAAGCCTCTGGAGGGAGCCCGTAGCCACTGGAGGGCACAGCAGGCTGGACAAGAGCAGAGCCAATCTGCCAGCTCTGGTCACCTGGGAAGGTGGAGGGGGCCTAGCTGAGAAAGGCACATTCCCTCCTGGTCAAAGCATCAAAGAACAGCTTCATCCAGTAAAGACTCAAAATGCATGTGGTA